GAGGCAAAGTGCATCATGGGAAACCAGAGGTTAGTGGAGGGTAAAAGGGAAGCTGACTGCCTGAGTTTGCTTGAGTTCAGCAGATATTCTGTGTTAAATGGAAGTTTTTGCACAGATAAAGCAGGAAGTTGTGTGTCATAAACTTCCTGACTCTCTGCTGAGCGCCTCTGCGTTTTGACTGATGACCCAGCGATCCCATTTCAGGGCTCAGAGCTCAGACGAATGTCAGACTTCACATTTTTTTTATCTTCGGTGGATTGAGCGTTTGTCAGCGGAGAGTCCTTCGAGTCTTTTGAGTCTTTCGAGCCTCGAGTTGTTTATTTTCCTTTTTCTAAAGTCATTCTTCAGAAAAACAAACTTCTGCCAGCGTGTTTCCCGTCCGGTTTTCCCTCCTCTCTGTTTCCTCAAACCACGCCGCCGCCGCCCGGCCCCGATCCTCCATCACTGGCTCGCCCGGACCTCGTTAAGAGCTGCTTGTTTGGTTGTTTGGAGGTGGGAAGTGTTTCCTGCCTGATTCAACTCAGAAAATACCTGTTTACATCCTTTTCTTCCCTCCCCGGGCCATGTTAGCCGCTCTCTCCGCCTCACACAGCGAGGCTCTCGACGTTCCCGTTACTTTGACTCGCCGTGTCTCACCTGCTGGTGCTGAGGTGTTTCTGTGATGTTAAACTTGCAGGGAGATTTTTTTTTTTTTTTTTTTAAAGAGGAGAAAAACAAGAGAACCTGACCCGGTTAAGTTATTACGTGGAGCACTAGGTGTGGTGCAAGCAGTCGCTGACTTTCAGTTGAACTGCAGCAATTTTAATGCTGAGAAGGTTGCAGGAAGCCGGTGCCAGCTCCCCTGCAGGCCCCTCCGGCCCGGCGCTCCTCGCTCCGTCTGGGTCGGTGCCCACGTCTACCATCTGCTAACCCGGCCTCATTAAAAACAAACCCCAGCCGTGGCCTCCGTGAACCGCAGCCCGCTCTCTAACACTGCTGCTCCTTCATGTTTGTTTTCAGCAGTTGTGATGTTTCACACTTTGCTCTCTCCTCATTTTTTGTCTTCTGTGTTTGGTGCTTTTATTTCCTGTTATTTTCTGGCCCTTCCTGTCTCATCCTGCCCCGTGTGTCACACACATCCTGGCCTCTCCGGCCCTGACCTGTCCTTTTGTGGCTGTTAGAAAAGCGCCTTTCAGACCAGACTGTAAGAATCTCTCGCTGCAGGGACCGATTGTTGAGTTTACAGCTCAGTTTTTGGGGGTTTTTTTTAGCTCGTAGTGCAGAGCAGGAACCTTTCTAAGCATGATGGGGCCTCTTCTCCTCATTCTAGCTCCATATTTTTATTTGCGAAGTAGCTTTGCATGATTCACTGTTTAAAATAATCCTTCAACCACTTCAGCCGTTCATTCTTTTTCTCCATCAGGCTGAAGCGCTGGGCAGGCATCAGGCAGTGTTTATGAATTAAATTCAAATTAAAACCACAGGTGCCTCTACAGGTAACCTCAAGGTCAGAGGTCAGGTTTTCTGAAAAAGTCACACAGCTTACGTATGTTCAGCATCGCAAACTGACAAACACTCAGGGAATCTGGGATCGATTAAACTGGTCTGAGAATCTGCTGGATGTAACAGCTCAGCTGATTAGTCGCTTATTTTCAAGGCGCGTACATAAAACGCTAACGTGTCGCCAGGTTGAGTAGAATATTAGTCAAAAACCCATTTGGTCATAAACATCCACCTATAACTCTGCTGGACTCTGAGGGTCTCAGAAAGGTTTATATTTATGATTATTTTAGCATTTCTCATTCCTGGTTCTCCGTTTTGATTGGATATGGTGGATGAGGTCACTAAAGCACCCCGTTAAGCTGTGCGACCTGGTAATCAGGTTTTCTGGACCTAACGACACTAGATCCTCTAAAGATTCTAGTATATGTTTTACTTTATACATTTATTTTTATCTTCACCTTTTAAAACAAGAATTGGGTGCACGAGTTGGAATTTATTTAGGATTTTCTCTAATCTGCACTCTTCAATGGTTGCTCTTCCTCTTACTACATCAAAATAAGATCATCAGTCTTCCTCACTCACGTTTCAAAACAGCAGCTCCACATGTAAGTAAAACTTACTCCAAAGATGTGCATGTAATCTGAGTAAATGTTAATATAAACACATCAAGCCACTTCCTGCTGTGACAAAACAAATTTCCCACGTGTGGGACTAATAAAGGTTATCTTATCTTATCTTATCAGAAAAATGGGTCGGGCCCAGACGCTGGTTTTGGAGAATCACTGCACCCCTTGATCAGGATATCTCATTTAAAAGAAATAATTGTGTATTAGGAGCAAAAAATGGTGATAAATATGTTTAATTTCTGACTAAATACAAAGAGAATTCAAATAAAACTCCTTTCTTTGATAAGACGAGTAATCAGTTGGCTAGTCTTTGTACCAGTTGTCGAGTACTTCTGGCTCCAGCTTATTAAACGTCTGAATGTGTCTTTAAGGCTATTTCTTTTCTCCTACACTCTTAGAGTAGAGGCTTCTCAGTCTTGGATTATAGAGGCTTCCCTTTAAACTCTCAGAGCTCGCTCTGTTCTGCTGTAATTCAATAAAGGATCCAAGATTTTATAAAACATTGAAGGTTTGTCCTTGAATCAGCAGGTCACAGCTACCAGGGGGATGAGATCTATTGTTTCTTTGGAGCCACTCTGAGAGCTCAGCGAAGTAACATACACCTTCTAGTACTAAATAAAAGAACATCAAGCCCCGTTTGAAAGATGGGATTAAGATTCAGGGCAGAATGCAATGAAAGGAGGGGAAGGCAGAGTTTTAAAGATTCATATTTTTATAGAACATTTCGGAAATTTCCACTTCAAACTTTTTCCCCTCGACACTTTTGAATAGATGGGACAAAAATGAGAAAACCTTGTATCTGCTGCGGTAATTTTGAAAACACATTGATGTCTTTTAGAGGCTCTGGAGCAGGAGGGGGATTTGAATTTAGGATTTGGTTCATAAATGGAGTGAAAATGGAAGATTCGGCCGGGAGACAAATGTCTGTGAATGCCAGGATGATTAAAAACACTTACTGCAATCATTTCATAAAATATTTATGTTTACATTTTTATATTCCAGAATCTCAAAGCCCAGAATTGTTCCTCCGCTGGGAATAATTACATAAATTCACCCATTGTAGTTGTTGAAGGTGGAAATATTGATGGAGACCAAAACTGTATTTAATAGCGGGCTGTGAAGATTTATTTACGGCTGTAAGGTTGGTCATCTTAACATGTCCATGGGGACTGACTCACTTTTGGAGGCGGCCTCTAGTGGACATTAGCGGAACTGCAGGTTTTAGTGCTTGATTTGTTTTTCTGTTCAGGAAAAATAAGCGATCGCATGTTCGATGTTGTAAACAGCTGTTCAACCAGAGGTTTACACTCGACCACTCGCTGTTTGACCACTTTGGGTCATAAGCTGATTGCACAGGTTGCGTTGCGAGGCAACCTGTCTACAAACAATCACAGTCAACCTCACTGCAGTCACTCTCAGACTCTTGGATCTAATTTAGAAAAGCAGAGTGACTGCAAAGTAGAGTTTGGCGATTGGATGAATATATCGACTATCGGCGGCCGTTTTTACAAAGGCGATTTATTTATTTGAGTCAGTTTGCTAATAGTGATGGAGCTAATGGAAGCAGTCAAGAGAAGAAACAAAGGTAGTCGTGTTTGAGTACTTTGCTCGCTATACGTCTGCACAAGCGGCGCACTGCTTTGGTTACATCCTTAGGTTTACCTCTTTCATCTAGTTTAAAGCCAAAGAAATCCCAAATTGCAAACTTTTATATTTCTTTTTTAGTGCTGTCAGCGTTAGCGCACCATCATCATAACTAATGTGATTAACAGCCCGTCTGGAGCACAGAGTCAAAATCCCTGAAATGTCTCTGTCAACACATTTCGGGCAGTTTGTCCAACGTTTCTGCGCTCCAGATGGGTTGAGGGTGTTAAAAATTTTAATGGCGTTAATGGTGATGACCGCGTTAATGCCACATTAATGCGTCAACACTGACAGCACTAATTTTTTGGGGGAAATTAGTTCGTCCATGTTTGGACTTCTTCTGTGTTGTAAATGCACAAATCAGTCCGTGCATGATTACATTGCTCCGCCCATCAAAAGTCTGCGCATGCGTGAATATGCCTCCATCGTCGATTATTGGACTGACGCTTGTTGTAAAATATCGCCCAACCCTATTTCAAACCCTTATGTAGACTGCAGGATATTTTCACAGTTAATTTCCATATTATCTGAAAAAATCAGAAGCTGGACAAATGTCCTCCTGACACATCGGCCGGAAAAGCTTGAACCCGGTCATCTCTGTGCACCTCTGGTCATAGAGCCCGAGTTACGTTACATAACCAGTATTCCCATCATATTTATCTTTGTTTTTTCGAGTTCGATTTTGGTGTTTCAGTCGATCTCAAAATGATTTGAAAGTTCAGTTGATCGTATGTAACAGTGGGAACAGCTGGAGGAGCAGACGAAGGCCAGTTTGTGTAAACGTTGGAAGTTTCCGCAGTGGAAAAGTGGCCATTTGTTCCAAATCTGACCTTAAATCTAACCTGCCCGTTACTCGCAGCCCTGTTTTCACCTGTGCCATTAATCTTTGTCCTGTCACGTCACTTCTTCTATCTGCTGTGTTCTGCTTGACTGCAGTTTTTTTTGTTGTTTTTTAATCACTATCACGAAATCTTCATAATCCTCCTCTTCACTCCCTACGGTATCAAACACGTCACACACAGATTCGAGGGAAGGCTATGACTCAATAAGTCAATTTAATCTCTGCCCGAGGATTGTAAATTGGTTTCATTATTTGGATTAAATTCATCTCACTGGTTTAACTGTTGGAAGCAGAAGGTGAAGCACTGCCTTCAGTAATTACAAGCTGATTAAAACGACACTTATCAGCATTTTTAATGCCATAAAGCACGCCGGGCGAAGGCGGCGATGGGGAGAGATTGTCTGCTTTAATAAAAGAAAACCTTCTTTCTGCAGGTCCTGACTCCAGAGGAGCTCACGAAGGCTCAGAGGGCCGTCGCCTTCGGCTGCATCAAATACGCCGACCTCTCCCACAACCGCAACAACGACTACGTCTTCTCGTTTGATAAGATGCTGGACGACCGAGGCAACACGGCGGCGTATCTCCTCTACGCCTTCACCCGCATCAGGTCAGGGTTCACTACAACTTTTAATACTTAGTTTAGATAAAAAAGATTTAAGAAGTGCACGTGTTCCCGCACACAGTCAGGCACACAAGGATACAAATAGCATATAGATTTAGACGAGTTCTGAAGTTTAGAACAGCCTGGATCTAAACGAGCGTGGACCAATCGGAAGTCCTGATCTGTTATACAGCCCTAAAGGAGCTAATGAAGTGTCGAGTGTTTGCAACCTTACTGAAGTGCACATGAAAACTGAGGTAAATCAAACATGTGTACTCAGGGTTCAAAGTTATTGGCTGACAGGAAAGGTTTGAAAGTCTTAGAGGAATGGATGACGAGTCCCGGCTGAGTACCAGGAGTTCCACATTTAACCTGGGTGGCCCACTCCATCCTGTCTTTGTGCCACCTCAGTCTTCTCCAGCAGTCTTGGCATTTGACGGTCACTGAGACGACCTTAGTCTTGGCTTCACTTTACACCTGAAGATTCAGATTCGGACTAAATCCAGAGAGAGAGTGAAAAGTTGCAGCTTTGCGCCTCTGTTGCAGCTCTTTTCATGCAGCCCATCAAACCCAGTGTAAAATAACGAGCGGCGTTGCTGCTAACAGCCTCTTTTAACAGTAGATTAGTTATGTAGCAGTGCAGAAGCCGGTCTGTTTAGTAATCTGTCCATCGGTTATATGAACTATTGCTTGACCCTGAGTTTAGGACACTGAAACTATCCTGAAAGTTAAATCAAGTGCCTCCATTTTTCTCGCCTGTCCTGTACGAGAACCTCCCATCAGCACCAGTATACTTTCATTACTCGTATCAGATCGGCCTCGCCAGACCCTCCGCGATCGTTGTGGCTTGGGATTAGTCTTTGGGGTATTTCCACTCAGTGAGACCCAATTTGTCCTCACCCTTATCCCCTCCATCGACTGAGTGTCTCCAGGCTGCACAAGAGCTGCACTGATCTTCCTCTCCAGCTTCCCGGAGGAGTTAGTCGGGGTGGCAGAGCGCCCGGCAAAGGATTGATCCCCTCTCTCTCTCTTTTTTTTTTCCCCCTCCAACCGGGAGGGGTGAGCAGGCTCGCCCGAGAGGATTCGATGTTTGTGCGTTCAGTCAATAGAGCACTCAGCTGCCCCCTGCTGTGCTGTTCAAGATTCAGAGAAGAAGAAGAGAGAGAAAAATGGACAGAAGCAGAACTTAAAACCATGAGCTGGGCCGTCCAGTTTAACTGAACATGGACACAGAAGGAAAAAACTGAGCTTAATCAGTGTTTTAGGAGATGTTGGGTTTCCTCAACATGAACCCCAACATCACTTCTTTTATGTATTTTCCTAAAATTGGTTTATTCATTGTTGAGGTGGAGGATAAAAAGAGAAAACGATGAACTATCAACGGGTCATTTTTTAGCCTGGACTCTTTAACTGGTTTTTAAACGTTTGTCTTCCTCTCGCAGGTCCATCACCCGTCTGGCCAAAATCGACGAGGCCACGCTGAAGAAGGCGGCAGAGACCACGGAGATCCTCTTGGACCACGACAAGGAGTGGAAGCTGGGGAAGTGCATCCAGCGTTTCCCGGAGATCCTGCAGAAGATTCTGGACGACCTGCTCCTCCACACGCTGTGCGACTACGTGTACGAGCTCGCCACCACCTTCACAGAGTTCTACGACAGCTGCTACTGCGTGGAGAAGGACCGGCAGACGGGTGAGCTGGGTCGAAGTTTAGATCAGTTTCAGGGGGACAACTCTCTGGTCAGGGTCCAAACTTCAGTTTGGTGTTCGCGTGTTGGTTGTTTAGTGCATCCGATGATCGTTTTTTCTTCACTTTGATTTGAATATTCAGAGTTTGGTTTGATATGACGTCCTTTCCTCTCAGAATGTGCTTTTAAAAGTTACTCCAAGTTGTGTTTCTAAAGTACTTAAATTCTTCGGTTTTCTTTTCTGTGTCCTAAATTGTAAAACAAAACCAAAGCTGTCCAAACTTTGAAATAATAAACTTGGCATAATGTGGTCAGAACAAAAGTTTGAGCCAAGGTCCTATTGGATGGCCAAAGGATCCAGACCCGACTGTTTAGTATGAAGCTGCAAAGAAGGGTTTGAATTTTCGACTTTTCACTGTTGCTTTTGCAGAAGGAATCGATGTGTTGCAGGTCGTCAGTGAATCCTGATGAGAGAGAGGATGTCTGGACTGTTAGTCTGAGCTGAGGGCTGACTCATTGTACAGCCTTCCTGCTAACAAAGAGCCCACGGCTTATTAGACTACACCAGTGTAAGGTCGTTCGAGCCCAGAGCGCCTTGCTGGTGGGTTTCTTAGATTTACTACAGCAACGTTTCTTTGTAATGACGTTACACGATCTTTTTTGGAGATGGACAAACAAAGCCTGCGATTCTGTGTGCAGATCATAGAGCGGCCTTGCTTTCAGTTTGAGATTGATGTTAAAGGAAAGTGATGGCTGAGGACAAAAATCCCAGGAGCCGAGGGCTGGAATTCTAAAACGCTTGGAGAAGAGCATCTGGACTTCTTTAAGTTGCTTGAAGACCAGCTTGACTTCAGGAAATCACATGATAGGGTGGGGCTAGGGGGTTCGTGACCCCCTTGGGGGAAACTCCCACAGGGCTTAAATCTGGGACTCTCCACCATTTGACCTTAGAACTGAAGAAGCTTTTCAGATGAGAGGTGAAACGTCTTCAAGCAACTTAAAGAAGTCCAGAAGTTTTTCTTTCCAAGCTCTGTAGACTACCATGACCTGGATGACTGAGAACCTTCACAGCCGAGGGCTGCAATTCTTTCTCCAGCCAGAACAGTCGCCCTCTGGTGGTTGTTAAATAGAATGCAGCTCTGAAGCACTTTGCTGGGTCCATTATCATCTTTTAAACTGGCCGAGTTCGTTCAGCCTGTTAGTAAGAGTGACCTAAGAGTAACTCCACCTTCTCGTTGGAACATGATCACTGCCGGCTTCAACAAATCAACATGGAGAAAATGGCGATCCACAGATCAGTGTGTGTTTAATTACTAAATGGAAAAAAATCTTCTCCTGTCTCCATCCTTGTCGCATCACCGCACACCAGGATGTCGGCTTGTTTGGGTCCACGTTCACGCCCCTTTAACGACCTGTCTGTGTAACGCTGCTCTGCTGCTCATTAACGACTTAATTTCTATTGGATTTCTTCTCCGTCCGACAGTGCGAGGCTGTCACGGCTGCTGTGTGCGGATGCAGATGTTCAGGTCACTGATTTTTATTTGATGCTGCCGGGTGATGGCGGCATCATTAAACACGCCCTCTGATCTTTTTGTTGTTTATTAGTCTCGCTGTCTAGCGCACCTCTGACCGCTTCAGTCTCACCTCACCTCTGTTTATTATTCTGTCTTTTTTCCCATCATCGCTGCCTTAATTTTATTTTGTTTCAGAATTTGTATCTTTTAGCTGCCTTGTTATTTCTTATCCTCTACATAAGGACAATAAATGGGGAAATAAAGTCCTGTTAAGCACTCATCATGGGATTGGTTTGTGCTAGCACTTTTGTAAAATGCGTATTTACTGAGAAAATAATCCGATAGTTCAAGAGATATAAACTCGAACACGCCTTTGATTTCCTCCGTTTGTCTGTTTTTACCTTTTCAGGTGAGGTGATCAAGATCAACATGTGGAGGATGCTGCTCTGCGAAGCCACTGCAGCCATCATGGCCAAAAGCTTTGACATCCTGGGTCTGACCCCGGTCGAGAGGATGTGATGTCAGAGTTCAGAACGAGGGGAAGCCTGAAGATGAACCTCGGCAGTCTGAACTCAGTGAACCGGAAGAGTTATTTTTCCATAACACTTATTAAATCAAACATGGGACGGGGAAATCATTGTGTTCGACTCATTTATTAATGTCTCGTGTGAAGGATCTTTTTATTAAAGGGCGATTATGAAACCAAAATATCACCCAGTCTGCTGTCAGTCATTTTAAAGCTGGTTCTGTAAACTTCAGTTGAGACATATCGGCTTCCTGGTTTGGTCGGATATAAACTCCGTGGTTGGGAGCTATTCTGGAAAAAAAATGTGTACACAGCGGTGCTTCAGAGGGTAAAGCTCTGAAATCGGTTCATTGGTGTGTGAGTAAAAGCATTTTGATTACGATCTTGGATGTCATAGGATAAACTGGCTGTTTTTCAAGCAGAGGTAGATTACATGTGCTGCTGCTCATTAAGAGCCTGTTTCCACTTCATGCTGTTAACACGTGATCTGTCTGGATAATGACGGCCAATCTGTGGGATTCTATGTTGGGAAGTGTAGCACAGAGATGGATGGGTGCCACTTTTGCTCATTGGGTTTAATTTCCGAAAGTGCAGCTGGAAAGGCCCATTGATTGGATGTCATTGCACAGAGAGATCACATGGTAATTTACACCTGGCTCATCAGCGTACCCAGCGTTTTGTAAACCCTGATTAACATGATTTTTTTTTCCTCACCCAGAAAAGATGGAGATACAAAATATATGAACTAAAAAAGCCTTGAAAAATCTGTGATTGCTATTTGCAGTGATAATATTATTACTTGTGTTTGTGTGTAAGCTAATATCTATGAAACAGTGTTTAGGTATTCAGCACACAAAACTGACGTTATACTTCTGCATCTCATGTTATGTATGCCAACATTAAGGTCTGCTAAGTCAAAGTCAGCTGTAAAGTTGACTTAGCTAGCTAGCTTTAATTTGGCTACATAAATAAAAATCTGCTATGAGATTTCATTACTCTAAAAAGCAAATGTTAGCTATGCATATTTTGTAATTATATTGTTTACTGATGGTTAATGAGTTCATCTAATATGGTTATTAAACATCAAGTACTATGAAAATGGACGGTGAAGTTACTAGACCTCGTTTGAATAATTTAATGATGCTAAATAGGACTTAGCAGAGCTAGCATTTTGTATTAGCAGGCCCGCATTAGCTAATATTAGCTCTAAAAAACAAGAAGCAGAAGGATTGTTTGGTTTTTCAGCTCAAATCCAACCTTAAGCTATTAGTCTGCTGATGTTGAATCATAGACAATATAAAAGTGGGACATGCTACTTCTGAGTCTGTGTTTAAAATGTGACACGAACATGTAACTGCCTTTGCAGACATGTGACTGCTAGCAACGTTGATTTGTCTGGCTTGGACAAGTGAATAAGGCCTCAGTTGCACTGGTCCGCGACCATCTGGCAACCTCCTGCAGGAGAACACGTGTGACAGGTTAGCAAATCCCCCCCTCGTGATTGCAGCAGTCGTCCACAGTTGCCAGCAACTATCCAAGCAATAGTACCCTTCAAAAAGTTGCTCCTTTTGAAACATGCTGAGGCACAAATTTTACTTTTGAAGGTGCACCTTCTCCGGTCCAGTTTGCATTGTACTTTTTCAAGTTTTACCACGTCTTTGCTGGTAGTTGGCAAGTGTTTGCAGACAAGTTGGTGCTTTTCATTAGAATTATGGGCAACTGTACAGGCAATATACCAAACAATCATACACAGGTTTTTAGTGCAGTGTATTCTGTTAGCTAGTTAGTTTGTAATGTTAGCTAGTAATCTGAGAGCCCCAATGAGTGTGAACAATATCCACACAAAATAAAAATGCACAAAGGGCTTTGCTATCAGCAGTTGTAGCATCATTTCTGGACGCGTAAAGGCAACGACAGCGAGCTGTGGCTGACTGACTCGAGCTTTCACCTCTGCTGTATTTCCAGTTTTCACCGTGTCTCTTCTTCAGACACCGAACTCGTTCCTTTAAAGGTTTGCGTAACAGGTTAATCACACATAAAGTCCACAGATTGACTTAAAGCTTTTTTGTTTTGCATGTATTTCGACTCTAATTGCTTTCCTCTGCGTCGCCCACCCTGCGTCCCTGACCCTGATGTATGGAAAGTCACATTTGATTCGCGCTGCATTTCAGATAACAATTAGTCTTCACTTTCCATGACTCGTGTGAGAAAGTGGCCTTTGTTTCTCAGAAACTCAAAGTGTGAGGCAAACAAACCCATTTGACGAACTTAATTATACATCACACACTTCCTCGAGGCAGCCCGCGAGCTTGTAATTGTTGAGTCTGCCTTTACCCCCCAGACAGATGTGCACTGCGGTAGATATAAAAATTGTATGTCTCCAAGAATGGCCACAAGCCATACAATAGTTGTTAGAAGACTTCTGAAGATGTCTTCCTGTGACCCATCTTTGAAGCTTATGAAAAATATAAAGTCCCTTTCCTTTCTAGTTGTCTCTTATCGTCCCATACGTCCCGGGACTTTATCTCAGTACCTTCTCAGGCAATAATTCCTTCATGAAACATTCATCAGGCTTCCGCAGAGCCTCTGTTTTAGTTTATTCTTTTATTCTTTTGGGTGCTGCCACGCTGCTGCTGCTGAAGGACGGCGTTAAAGGTGTTTTGACAGTCGCCCCGGGAGGAGACCGCTCGCCATGCCACCGCCACCTCAGTAACACCTGCAGAAGCAATAACCCTGCTGCCTCAGTGGGAGAGACGATTATCATCACTCAGTCCTTTCAGCTGAAGTTTATTCCCTCTCCTTTATGTCTCGCGCTGGGTTAGAAGGACTGGGTGGTTTCAGGGCCTGGCAGTTGGTGACGACGTCTGTGGAGATCAAAGCTGCTGAACAACGTGCTCAGGTTCGGGATGGGGGCTCACCTGAGAAGTGCAGGTAAGAAGCAGGTGTCTGTACATACAGCCACAAAGATGCAATCTGTTTGTTTGTGTCGGCAGATTCGACTCCAATTTTCTTTATCATCTTCAGCATGACTTTGAAAAGTGAGGTTCTAGAGAAGTGCGATTGAGTAGTTTGAATTGTCTAAACCAGGGGTGTCAAACATGAGGCTCCGGGCCCAGAAAGGGCCGGCAAAGACTGCTGTCAGTTTTGGAAAATGTTAAGGGAAGCATAAATGTTCAACTTTGCAGGACTGTGAGTAAATTACTGTAATTTAACTTGTTAAATCAACAGCTTTACTATTTTTTCAGCTTTTTTGGTGAATTTTTACATTTGAAAATTAATGAATAACATGTAGATTTTAGCTTTAAAACGATTTCAGCTGAGAGGGTCGTGCATACTGAAGCATTACATCAATGCAAAAAATGTAATTTCATGTTTTATTTTATTTTTCATGTTTTATTTTCTTGTTGTGACAGATTCCCTCTTTATTCAACCGTCTCTTTGTTTCCCAGTGTTGACGTCCTTCTCAAATCCTTGTTTCATAAGAAACTTTTCAAAACTTAAACTCTGTTCTTTACCTTCAAAGATAAAGTTTTACTTGTGTTTCTGGTTATATTTAAATTGCATGTATTTTGGCTACCACTGTGCATGACTGCAGTCTGTCTTTACAGAGCACGTGTCAGCTTGAGTCCATTCTGGCGAAGTTATCATCCCACTGGACCCGTGTCTGCGTTTGTCTCAGGAATGTAAGTCCAGTAATCTTTTAATCTTTTAACTCCAGTTTTGGTCTCCACCACCTCTTGAGGTATAAAAAAAACCCCCCACTTGTATTACGGCTCAGTAATTACATGGTAACAGAAAATGAAAGGATTAATAAGTTATATATAGTAACCAAAGTATTACCCAAGTAAAAGCATAGTATTAACAATGAGTACATTTGGATTATGCGGTCCCCAACCGGGCCATGGACCGGTTTATGTCCAACAATATTTTCATGGACCGGCCTTTAAGGTGTCGTGGATGAATACAGCAAGATAAGACCAGCGCCAGTACCAAAAAAACAAGATTTATTCATAACACATGAGAAAAGACCCAGGGAAACCAAGTTAACGATAAAATAAAAATAACGATAAAACCATACATTTCATACCCGAGCCTCAACTCTCGCGGCCTGGTACCAAACGACCCGCGGACTGGTACACGTTATTTTGTGATTTCTAGTCTTGGCCGGCTTCTTGAACCTTTGACCTGAGTTCATCCAAAGTTCAGCTCGTGATGTTTTAGCGCCATATGGAAGAACAGACTTGTGTGGAAATGAAACCGCCTGCAGGGACTTCTGTTTTCTCTCATTGTCTCTTTCTTACAAGCCTGTTTGGACCGGGGCACGACGTCTTTGCCCCGATAAGTATTTTTACTTCACGTTTCCGTGTTATTGCGTTTATCAGCAGTTTAACCATGTGATCTGAGAGATGAACCAATAAGGTATGCAAATTAGACACGATTTGCATAATACATTGCATGTTTATGAGGAGGAGGGAGAGGTGAGGGTTGGAAGGTTTTTTTGGATCGCACTGCCAGACTTATTAATCTCTTGTGCTTCAGTGGCGCAGTGTGGCACCTCATCTTCACGCTGCCTGCTGTTTCCCCCGCCTTCCCGCAAAATTACAGTCGGTAATCTGTTTGGCACTCAGACGAGTCACAGAGGAGAGAGAGGGGGAGAAATAACAACAGGAAGCAGGTTTGAGGAGAAATAAACATTTTAATTAGGTGTTTGGCACGGATATGTTTCACACACAAAGCCAGGAATTAAATAACATATCTGGATAGAACATTTGTATTCAGATGTACTTTAAAGTTAAATAATCTGATATCGAATTTAATGACTTTTTCATGCAGTATTCAGGTCAAGCAGGCTTTAAAAGCAACACTCGAAGATCTGTACAAGAATAAATACAAAGTTCAAAAAATATCCTGGAGTTCGGCCTCCGAGTTTTCACCACCGCGGCGTCGTCCCGTGTAGAGGTAGATATCGCTCGTCTGCGAACCGTCACAGGAGTGAATTCAGAAGTTCCGGTGATGGTAAAAAGTGTGTGTAGGCATTAGAAAGTCCCCTTTATTACAGGCATCACCGCCCTGCAGTCCCCGCCAAGCTCGAGAAAGACGATTTGCTCGTCTCTCCTCAGATTTTTCCCGATTGGTTTAGCCGGACCGTCTCTAGAACCGTCGAGCCGACTTCACAGCTTTCGA